AAATGGAGACGTAACAAAATTATTGATATAAATGAAGATAAAATGATCATTTTTGACACATGCATTATTTACTAATGTACAAGTCCAAGAAACAACAGTACCTGAACTAAACGTAGCAATTCTGGTTAATACTTTCATATTGCTCATTGAAAAATGTGTAAGAAACAATCTTACCCACTTAGGACAGTATTTTAAAATGTGAATTGGCAATGGGGAATCCATCATCTTCAATATGTCTTTATGAAGTATTCTTAAAGTGAATAACTTCCATCAATGGAACAACATGAATAACATAAAAATTTCATCTTTTGGTTTTGTAGATATATTTTCTGTCAAATAAGTAGTTTTCAAAACTTTTTTGAAGAACTTAATTTTCTTCACGGTACCATATAGTTAAAGTTGAATGGGAAAATAACTTGATTCCCATTTTAGATCTCCTTATAACTAGAGCCAGAACAAGATCTGTCTGTGTAGTGAAAACCATCAAATCCTGTCAGTTATATACATTTTTTTCTTCTTGTGCCATCATAAAAATGTTCGAACATAACTGCAACCTCTGTTTTAGGATGATAGTAAATCAACCCACTAATTTCCTGACCATAACAAGGTAAAGTAGTGTGAGGTTTCATACACATAGTTAAAAAAACCTTATGAGTGAGGGGAGATGGGTGGCTTGTACTATTGGATAGCACATTGGCTCATTAGCCAAAGGTCCTGGGCTCAAGCTCCAGTTCCAGAGTTTCTTTTCACCTATAGGATTTTTTGTTTACAATAATGAACTCCTAAATATTGCTTTTCTAATTAAGAGGGATTTTTTATATACCTTAGAAAAAAATCCATTGAAAAAATGCCTGCTGTTAGAGGTGATGGAATGAGAGGCTTGGCTGTCTTCATATCTGATATCAGGAATTGTAAGTATATTGATGAACTATAAGTTTTGACATTTTACACAAAATTAAATATTATTGTACCTGTTTTAAGTAGTTATGATGTAGCTTTCAGTCTTTGTTTGTTATGGCTTGTTATCTCGTCTTAAGTATTTTATTTCCTCTACCTAACTTGTTTCTAGTTTTCATATTTGTTAATACTTCGTATACTATCTATGGTGCATTTGCACTCCACTACACTTCAAATCTATATTAGTAAATATAGGTTGAGCCAGAGTGGCTGTGGCACACACTATCTTATTATAACTCTTTGTAACCACAAATCCATATTGTTCTAATCTCATATGTTTTACATTACAAGTGTTTTGATTCCTGTTTGTACTTTGGGCTGCAGCTGCACCCCATCTTGTTTTAAATCTATGACATAACCTTTTCTATGAAATGTGTAGAAAGATTATAGAACTATCCTAAGAATGTTCTGGAAACTTAGAGAAAATTATAGAAATAATTTGAAAGAGTTTGTAAGCCATGAACAACCTCACTTGTCAAACAGAGACTTTAATAACACTCATTCTATTACACATCTCAATCCAAAATTGAAAGTCAGGGTGTATAAGAATGTCACATGGAATTATTATACAAGGGTTGGGAAAATAAAATGTAGCTACCATGAAAGAAAGTAGTGGATGAGAAAGCAAAAATAATGTTGATCAAGTGGAAGAACAGTCAAAGGAAAAAAGACGAACTTCACTTAAGCCAGAATCAGAAGATAAAGCATCAACTGCAGAGATGTTAACAAAGATATTGGTCCAGCTGCAGGTGATACTGTTTTGATTCCACAACTTCTGTAATAAGGTGTTATAAAGAAAATTGTTTTTTTGGTATTGACAGGCTCTTTGTTGTCAGATGCCTTTTATATAGTCAATTCAATACAATGCTATTGCTTTTAGGCTGAAGTAAAAGTGCACCATAGATAGATTAAGGTGGAAATTGACATAGTATACATAGAGTTAAGCTTGTTAATAATTAATGCTAATTAACCCTTCCATTATGGGCTTGGTGAATTACACCAAACCTGTAACCACAAAAGTATCCATGAGAGTAATTGTGCTATGATTTTTGATAATGTATACGTATCTTTATAAACTTTTCCAAGTTATTAGTAAACATTACAAGGCTTTTGTACACAAAATATCAGGTTTTTAAATTAAGTAACAAGATTTTTTAATTAAAGAGTTTCTCATAACATTTTTTATTTCAGAATATTGACTATCCAACATGCATAGTAATTTTGATTTTAAGATTAGAAATACTTCTATGCATAGTACATTTTCAAATTTCACATACAAAATCTTTATAATCTCCAGATAAATATCAAATATTTTTTAGAAAAAAAAACTATATTTTATCTGTTATTTTCACTACTGTATCTCTGTATGGGTTGGTTTGATATGATTGCCTTCATAACTTCAATAAAAAATTAAGAAACAAATATAAATTATGCTTTTTTCATTCTAGAATGACTACAAATTATAACACGAAAAGAACAAATGTTTAGTCTAAGTAGCTTAAATTGCATAATATTATACATATATATATATCATTTTTATATTGAGCTTTCAACTGTGCCTGGCTAACATATTTGAAGTTGCAATGACATGGCACATGGACACTGAAGTTACTGTATCCCAGAATATAAAAGTGGCCTTTACAAAGTGACTTGTCATGGCTGTGTTTAGTGGACTAGTATTTTGTAAGATAGTCATATTTCAGTTATAATGCATTATTACTATTTAAAATAAGTTCTTAAATTTCAGTTATTTTTCTTAAAACTTAGAACAGAAGAAAAGAATTATCTCTTCTAGTTACGAACTTTGAACTCTGAACTCGTTTGCTGCTTGCCATAGGTTGCTAAGCCTTATCAAAATTTGCACATGGAGGATGTGAAGCAAAATAATTTTTTCTAGTTTTATATATGTTTTGAAATAACCAAAAATCATAACTTACTATATCACTACCATAGAATTCCACTATAATTTATCAAGCTTAGGAACTAAGCTTTGGGTGTAAAAAAAATATGAAATTTCAAACTCACTAAAGTTTCACCTTACCTTTTTAAATCCAAGCTTTAAAGAACAAGTTTGGCACTGAACACTTCAATTATACTGAGAAAGCCACTAGGGGACATTCTGAGCTTTTGATTGGTTATTCACATGTCTTAGACAGAAGTAAGTGTACATAAGCATGTCTTTCCAAAAATGAATAGAGGTGGGCGAGGCCACTGTGTTTGTTCAGTATATGTAGTGATATCTCAGCAAATAGAAAATGTAGGAGGTTTTTATATGATATTCTAACCTTCAGTATCAGTAATTTGAGTTCCTAATTGGTAGGAAACTATAAACTTTGTATTTAGACATCACAAACATCTAATTTGAACCAATGTTGCATTCAACATACGACGTGACACACAAAATATATATATTTAGGATTTCTTTTTTAATATTTACTTTTAAATTAAGAAATTAACTAATAGATCATGCTAAAAATTAAATTATAATTTACAATTTGATAACAAACTTGTTGATATACATTCATAGAATAGTAGTTCAACAAAATTTTGAATGCAAGTCTACAAACGTGATGACATGAACTTTGACCTATGACCATAGGAACACCCATAGAGATATGGTTAAGCTAGGAAAATTGCTGTGTTTTGGGTTTCCATTTGTAACATTTACACTAGTACAAATGTTGTGTAAATGTGTTGCAATGTATAAAGCATTAAACATACTGTTGGTGTGTATTAGAAAAACTGGATAGGTGAAGTGAAGAAAAAGTGTCATATTTAAATAAGATGTAATATTTCATGTGCACAGTTTGTCCACTTTATCTAAACATTTTAGTTTTAAACTTATTAGTTTTTCAGACATGATTGTTTATAATAATGCTCTTAAGCTTATTTGATCAAAATAGTCACAGTTAAGAAAACAAAAGCTTGGCTTAGTTCGTGTATTTACTTATCTAGCTGTAGTTTTTTTCTTTTAGACCTACTAAAAATGATTAAAAATTATCAAAAACAGAAGTCAAAGAATAGTTTAGTTGTATTATTTAACTAGTAACTTGTACTGTGCCAGCTAAGAATGTCATGATTAAAAATTATAGTTTGATGAGAAGTCCAAAAGTAGCAAATTAATTTATTGATAATACTAAAGGATAATGTTTGTGACTCCTTTTGCAGGTAAGAGTAAGGAGGCAGAAATAAAGAGGATCAACAAGGAGCTTGCAAATATCCGTTCAAAATTCAGAGGTAAATGTTTGTAACTGACAAATATCTTCTTTAATTTTAAGAGCTATCTATCAAACAAACTATAATTTACATTAGTTGTGTATTAGTGTACTTCAAAAAATGCCAGCACTTTACCTGCCACATTTATAGATAAACAAGTTTCTTACTGTCAAGTTTATTATTAGATACACAATAAAAAAACAAAAGAACAAATATTATATTTAATTATTTATATCAAACTTGAAACTGGTAAACTTTGGGAATCCCCCCTTTTTTTTTTTGAAGTTTTGAAGGCTAGTACAAATGTTGTTTAATGTGTTTCATACATGTGACCATGGTTGTGCTCTTGCAGTGAAAGTTAAGCAACTGTATAAAATAAAAATAAGAGTACTTATGCAGTACTGTGTTGTGTATGGAACTCAAAATAATCTTGGTAGGTTTGTCCAGAAACATACACAGTGTATATTAATATTAAACTGATATAACAAAAAACAAGTAAAGATGAACTTTACAGTAGATAGAAACATTTAAAAAAACAGGAGAGATAAAATGGGATTTTTTTTTATATTGATGTAATCTATCTTTTATAATAAATAGAATTAGAAAAATGTCTGCAAGTTTTGTTTGTTTCAGTTGTCAGTAAAGAAAAATTAATAGAAATTTTCATCAAAACCAAACATTTTATATTATTTCATAAAGGAAAATTCCCATCATGCGAGATATCTGAAACAGACACGAGTATGTGATTGTAGAAGGCCCTAATTTTCTTTCTGTTTACTGTAAATAATAAGAAACACAGTATCTTGAGCTGTTGCTTTCCACTGTTGGCCACAAACAGTGAGGGGCAGTTAAGGCCTCACAAATAATAGGTGTAAAAACACATTAGCTTACCAATCCTTTCTCCATTCAGAATAATTGGGATAATTTCTAACTTACAAATTAGGGGGTCTTTGATAAATGTTGTTTGGGTTTTATTTACCTCATCCTCTTCTGGCAGGAGGTACCTGGGTGAATATGTATGTAAGTAGGAGATTTGAAATTGTGTAAGGGAAGTTTAATTTTAGTGTTGTTTTCTTGGGAGACAAATTCTGTATTTTCATGTACAGTATTATTCACACAAACATCACAAGTTAGTAGTAATGTGATACTGAGATACCAATGACGTATCTACTAAGCAAAAATAATTGAACATGTGGTAAAGAACATAATGCATTAAGTAGTTGCATATCATATGTCAGGTTCATCCTTATTCCTTCTTAGAAAGAACTATACTTTGGTTCAGGCATATCAGGTTGGGAAAGACTGATGGTACAGAATTACTCAAGCAAGAACAGATTAAGTAAATGATTTATCCTAAAGCAGAATAAAATGAATTTACATCAGTCTTTATACATTTTCAAAGTACGGTTGCAACTGTACTTTGAAAATGATTTATCCTTTATTGAAATATACTCATAAAATTTGTAACTTGTGATCATGTAGTAGCATTTTTACTAACAGTTACTAAAATTACATATTCAAGCAATATGCTTTTATAATGAAAATATGAAATTGCATTGTTAATGTGAAATTTCACCAATGTTGGGTACATTACTAGAAAAAGGTAAGGATGATACTTTGGCTGTTACTTGCTAACAATAGTAGAATCCACTACCCAAAATGTTACTTATTTAAAAGTATAACAAGTAAAGACTCATTATTTTTCCAATAGATACCTGTAATCTGTTTATAAAACATGCACTGTGTACATCGTATATTATACTTTATAGATGTATACAGAACTGAATTATAAATATTGAACTCCAGCAAAAAAATGCATTATATATTGAGAGGTTTTAGAATTATAATATTTCCTTTATAGTATTCAACGTAAGAGCAACGTATATCTTACACAATACAGGTAAAAGGGATACAAATGACTAAAGTAACTACTAAGTAGCCTATTAATTAGTGTGAAATAATCTAACAGAGCTTACTTCATGTAAGAACTGCAGTATTAAGGCAGTTATTTTAGGAGGCCAATATCACTGTTACATTTGAAGAAAACTGCTCTCTCAAAGCTTACATCAGACACTCCTTCTCTTTTTGCCCTTAGCACATCTTTTCCAACTGAAAAAAACCCTCAACTGCAGCACCTAATGGAATAGCTATATTTAATGAAGTGAAAACTGACTTTAAGACTATGTCTGTAAATTCATCATTGTGAACAGATTTTACCAGAGATTTATCTAGAAGAGCATTTATGTATCCAGTACTTTTTGCCCCCTGTGTTTGCAGATATCTGAAATAATTGTCTTCATCTTCTGTTTTTGTCAAGCTATCTTGATTAGGCAATTCTGTACTGTATTATGCTGGGTGATCTTCTATCTTTGTGATCATTTTCTGTCTAACTTGTTCATTACGGGTTTCTCAAAGCCAGGAGAACCTGAAGTTTGGATGAAAACAAGTGAAAAGAATTGTATCATCATCATTGAATATGTTGTAAAACCTAGTTTCTCTGCTCTGAATTAATACTTCATCTGTTTATTGCTCAAATCACCCAGTTTTGTTAGACAAACATGCAACTTGGGAATCAGTAGTCCCATAAATGCTTTGTTCTTACACTGCTAGATTCAAGTTCCCTAGCAATAAGTTTCATGACTTGAACTTATGCTGAAATAAAAGTTTTCTCAGCTGCACAATTCCTAGTTGATCAAACACTCAGTCTAGTGCTTGGTCAGTTGACTCACTTCCAGATAATAATTTATCTACGTGGTTTATGGTGCCAGACATTGAATTCCAATGAGTTGGACAAGAAACAACCAAGCATCCCCTATTTATTTCTCAACTGTGTTGGCAACTACGGTGCTTCTGCTCTACTTATTTCATGTGGTTTGAGCTTTTGCTATTGCTGATCAAGACACTTTTTTAAATAGCATTATTTAAAGCTTTATCTTCATCAGTAGTAGCAACAAGATTCAATGTATGAAAGGCACACCTTTGATGGTCTGGCAAAATGCATATACATGAATGGGATGATACCTCACCATCAACAGCTAATATATCAGCTAGAGAATGAATTTCTACAGCATCTTCATCTGTAACTGCATCATTACCACTACCAGCAACATCACCATGCAGTTGGTCAGAAGAGATGGTGGATGCATCATTGGAGAACACTGTAAAATAGGTTATCACTCTATTATTTATACTTACAACATAAGCACAAAAAATAATTTTGACAATTAGTAGCATGGCCAATAATATGACCAGGAAGGACAGTGTTATGATCTGCTGTCCAACCAGTCAACAAACACATCCTATTTGTGTGTGTTTGTTGTATATTTATATATATATATATATATATATTGGATGATGTATGTATGTATGTAATTAACCTTTCCATGACAATGAATGGTCCATTTAATATTTCATTCTGCCTGACACCAGACAAATTTGTTAAGGTTAAGGAAAGATTCCCAGGCATGAATTTGGCTATAATTTATATCTGTTATCTAGATAATATGTATCTTCTCTCCTCCAATTATTTCATTTTTTCCATCATTTAGCAATTGATTTGTTCTGAGAAAAAGGTAATGATACTTAAGTAAACAATTTTTTTATATATATATATATATATATATATATATATATATATATATATAT